ACAATTCAAGATTAAAACTTCAGTTTTATTTTTGTATAGAAACTGTCATCAATAATGACAGATGATTCTAGAAGAAGATTAAATCATTGTTAGATAAGAATTATAATCAATTCCAAAAATGAAAAAATATATATTGTTTCTCTCCTTTAATCCTTTTTCTTAACAATAAGAGAAAAAAAAGAAGAAAATATTTTATTAATTATAATAAAAGAAGAGTTCATTGCATTGAATTATTTTGTCATATTTGACATTTCTATTATGTAATGAAAAGAACGAATTGAATATAAGAGAATTTCGATCTATATTGAATTATCTTTATATAAAATAGAACACAGATTAAGAGACTGTTTTTTTTTGTCATGATTTTCTGTAGTTACCCTTAAAATAATCAAATACAAAATATATTTCTTTTGTATCACGAAAAAATCTTTCTGTTTTTTCTTTTTCTTCTTTAAATCATTTTTGATAATGAGTATTTCAGACATTTGGGATTCCAGTTTGTTTTTGTATTTTGTACGTTTGTAATACTTGTAGGTAGACAAATATTGAATATGTATATTGACAAAGCAATATGTGCACATTAAATTGTGCTCAATCTATGTTTCAATAGTCAAAAAAAATATTATCTGAGTAAATAGATTAAGAGAATATATCAAATTTATTTTTTACTCTTTGTTAATTTGTATTGATAAAAATAGCAATCACTTCTTTATTAACTTACTGTAATTAACTTTTGTTATTCTATTATTATTATTGAGTTCAAGTCTCAACTAGATTTAGCTACTGTTATTTATATTTGTAATATAAAAATAATCTTGTTCAAATTGTTGTTGTTTTTTGCAAGACATGACAATGTAACATTTTCTTACTATTGACACAAGCAATGCGCTGTTCCTCCTTTTGAATAATAACTAAAATGTTACTATTTTCCATATGTGTATATGCATATACATATTCAATGTTTATGTGCCTTCAGATATTACACAAATATCAAGAAAACAATAAAAATAGGGGTCGAAAATGACTAGAAACCCTTCATCATTATAGTATAATAGGACATTATTGTGGAGAAAAGGCCTTGTGATGTATATTAATTTGTGTTATTTTTCCAAATCTTGAGAAGGAAATGTGAATCAACGCATAGAAAAGAAATGATAATAAAATTCAAGTTCATAAATCGAAATATATTCTTTGAAAAGACATTATTCGCTATCACAACATTTCATGTGCAAAATAAGATTTTCAGACGTATGTTTTATTAGCTGAATCAATAAAATAAACGACAAATATGCAAAACCAATGAGGCCGTCTTCGTTGCATCTATCAATCTATCTCATTGGTATGTCGACAGTAATAATAATATGAGTACGTAGCTACTCGACTTGTGCACACACATCAGAAAGAAAGTGAGAAAAAGAAGACGGAACTTTTCTAGTAACATTTAGAAAAGCCTAAATTGGATTATTATCGACTGCTGCAAGTGTAAAGACGAACGAGAAGAAGACAGAAAAAAAAAGCAAGAAACTAAAATATATTATAACATATTCTCATGTGTCAAATATAGACGATGAGTAATTTATTTCAATGAAACATTTATCGTATTAGCTGATCTGTGAGCACGACATACATATATAGTTAACATAAAGTGATAATGTGCGCGGTTAAAATACATAATTAGGTAAGAATATACAATAGATTATTTATTCATATGGAAAAGAAAAATGATCCACTTTTTCTTTATTAATTTTAATATCTTTATTGCAAAATAATTAAAAATTAGAATGCTTTTCTTTTCAAAAAAAAAAAAAATATTTGGAGTTCTTCTATTTAGAAAAAGTGAACGACATTCTTCTTTCTTTTTTTTTCTTTCTATTATTTTGTGTTTTATCACACAATATATTTATATTTAGATATATATTTATATATTCCATAGAACATTTCACATCTCTATCTATTCAATGTCATCAATCTATTCTCTATTCTATTCTATTCTTTTCTTTTTTTAATACTAGTACTAAAGAAAAATATTATCATCAATATTTGGCTTCTTGTTAAACAAAGAAAAACAAGACAAAATGATAACTGAAGATGTTTAAATAGGAAAAATTTATGTTTATTAAAACTAATTCGATTTAATCATGTAACATAAGTATAAAAGTTTTCTTTCTTTTTTCTCCAGCATAAAAATGCATTATGACAATAACAGTTAACTTGTTTGCACATTTTCGTCTTTTCTTCTTCTTCTTCACCGTTAACATAGGATTTCCGCTTGAGTTTAGTATACTAAAAAAAAGAGACATAGAGACGGAACCAGAAGCGAGAAAAAAAAGAAAACATATATTCTTTGCCTTCTTTTTTTTACTTCTGTCAAACTCCCACGAGAAAAGTATGCCTGTAAAAATTTTCATTAAATAGGATTGATGCTCATTCTTCTGATGTTAAGTGCACAGAATAAAATAAAAATACGAGAAGTTAATCAGCCTTGTCAAAAGGTTATATTACCACTAAAGTGATGAAAAAAATGAATATTAAATAAAAACAAAAAAAAAGAAGAGAGACAAAAAAAGAAATCTCTAAAAACAACGAAATTCTTCTATTTCTTCGTTTCTTTACTTCGAAGTAAATTTTTCCAAAAGATTACTTTTTACGAAACAAAAAAAAAGTAAGAAGATTATACTAAGACTGATTTTTTTATTATTATTCTTTAGATATAAATCATGGTTGTGTAGGTTATCTTAGTCATGGCTGATTTTAATACTAATAATACTACTACTATAAATAATAGTAGTACTGCAACCAATATAATTATTTATGGATGTATTCATTTGGTAATGCCGTGTGCTGTTGCTATTGGAATTATTGGAAATCTTTTATCAATCTTAGTATTTGCACGCCGTGAAATGATTAAATTTTGTGTATCTATATTTACAATTGTTCTTGCACTTAGTGATATTCTTTTGTTAATCACATCATTATTTAACATCATATTGACTGATTATCTTGGTGGATTACTGTCAGATAAATCGGCATTTTGGTGGTAAGAATAGATCTTTCTTTTTTTTTTTTTTTTTGAATCCATATTAAAAAAGAAGTAAAAGATTGTTCATTCAATAAGATTAATATATGAGAAACAAGCCAATAGAAATATTAACTAACAGAGAGGGGAAAAAAAGGAAGATTGTGACTATTCTTTAATTATTTTATAAAAACAAAAAGCAAAAAGAAAAATAAAGCTAGATTATATTTGAAAAAACATTTTTTCTTTTAGAGAAAAGAAAAATGAACGGAAGGAAGGAAATAAATTTATATATAGAGAGATAATCTTGATGTTCAAACAATATATTCAAACCTTGTGACATGAAAAAAAAACCCCGAGAAAAATTATTGAAATAAAATGATTTAATTAGTCCTTTTTTTTTTTTGTTTTTTGAAATAACTTTAGCCATTTTCATGGTTATTTTGATCTATTATTTGCTGCATTAAGTGGTTATTCAGTTGTATTTATATCTGTTGAACGTTGGTTTTCGGTATGGAAACCATTTGATAAAGCAAAATATGTTACATTTAAAACAACAATCATAACTGTTATTAGTTATATATCAATATCAATAATTGCATTTTCATGGTTTCCATTAACATTATCCTATAATTATGGAAAACATGAATCTAGTGAGCAATGTCGTTTAGCACGACCTACTGTATATAAAATATTTGGAACATTTTCAGTCATTTTTACTTATATTGGTAAATGAATATGTTGTTGTATTTTGATTTAATCTATTTAAACTTCGATTTCTTTTTAGCGCCTTTCATTTTTCTTGGTATACTTAATACTCTTATTGTTTATCGTTTACATGCTCGTCATAATACATCTATACAACGTTCAATGGCAACACCAACTAATTCAACTACTGATTCAACATTAGCTACAGCATCAACACGTAAACGACAACGTCAAAGGAACACAGATCGAAATATAACATTTATGTTAATAGCTGTTGCTATTGCATTTATGGTTATGTCATTTCCATATCAGTAAGACAATGATAAAAGAAGCAATATATTTTTTTTACTATTTAATATCAATTTCTTTTTATTCTCTATAGAATTTACTGGTTCTATATGCAAATTCATCAATCAACACCAGAAAATAAAACTTTATTTACATTAACTCAAACATTTCGATATCTTAATTGTTGTTGTAATTTTTTTCTTTATTCAGCTACATCATCATTATTTCGTCGAGAATTACGTGAAATATTTCAATGTTCAATATCAACAACTAGTAATTCAAAAGAACCAACTCATGTACAAACAACTATACATAATCGAACACGAACACGAACACCATCATCACTTCCAACTTATTCAACTAATATTGATAATGCAACAGTCGAAAGAAAAACACTTTTAGTAACATCAACATCATTAAAAATATCAACGAAACCTGTAGAAAATGTTAATCTTATAGCAATATCCAATGAACCAATCAATGGTTATTCCGCTACGTTTAAAAAATAAATCAGCGTAGATTTTCTTTTTCTGATATATATATATATATAATTATTATTATTATTATTATTATTATTATTATTATGAATTGAAGACATATTGTGTGCTTATTCATTTAACAATTATATGAGACGTGTTCAAAGAAAGATTATAAAAGAAAAAAAAAAGAGAATCAATATTTGATTTCAGTTACTGCTTGTAAATGGACGGATAAAACACCATAAATCTGACAAAATAACTTGTCGATTATTAACATGTTAAAATAAATGAACTGTATTTTCGATGAAATCATTTTAAGTTGTTGTTGTTTTTGTGTCATCACTCATTGTCTAAACAGAACAAAAAAAAACAGTTGATTTTAATTAAATTGTATAGAAAAAACAAAATTTAATTCTTTTTTTTCTGTTTTCTACAATAATAATAGTAATAACAACAACAATAACAAAAAAAAAACAATTTTCTGTGATGAATAATAATAATAAAAGAAATTAGATGCGATATTCTTGATACTTGTTCATATAATCACATTTCGCTTGTTTCACATATTTATCTAATAATTGATACCATTCATTAATAATAGATCTATCAGCATGAGCAAAATGATAATTATGAATTGTATTTGAACCTGGTGGTTGTTCAACTGATAAAACAAGTAAATGTTTATCTTTTTGAATATTAATACCTAATATTAAATGAAGTTGTATACGTTCTATTAGTGTATATTTATCTTTTGACATAATTTTAATACTTCGATAATTGTCAATAGATGAAAGAATAAGTATACGTTGAATATATAATGGAAATTGAATAAATATATTTTCATATTGTTGATCTTTCATTTTATTAATTAAATAAGTTATTCGTTGAATTATATTTAAACATAAATTATGTTCATTTTCAAATATAATTACTTCAACTAGGGAATTAAAAAGACAATGAAGACGTTCATAATGATTAAGACATAATGTACGATTAAATGATGATGATGATTTATATGGTATAAATGAATTTAAATAGATAATAAGAATAGATGATAATTTTGATGTTGAATGTATACGTTTAATATGTTTTTCTTGTTCATCATATGGTTGAGATTTATCTTTTAATAAATAAAAATAATTCCATTCTTCAGCAAGAAGTAAATTTAACCAAAATTTATATTTTTTTTCATAACGTTCATTATTATGATTGAAAAAATAATTTACAAAACTACGACAATTACCAAAACATGTTGATATGGATGAATTAAGTATATCATTTGTACTATTATCTGATAAAAAAGTCATATGTATATTATGATTTTCATAGTGATGTGATGATGAATCGATGGTTTGTGAAATATTATCATATGTTCGTTGATCCTGAACATATAAGAAATGGGAACCAATTTGAATTTATAATTTTTCCAGTATCTCATTTTTTTGAGCTTGTATATGCACGCAAGAAAGATCAGATTAGCAGCATACAAGCATCATTAAAGGATGAAAAAGGATAAAGTAGTATCAATTGAAGTAAGGAAAAGAAAAATTTATAACTGATAAGTTTACAAAAAAAACATCTATAAAAATCAATAAAAATATCTTATTAATTTCCTATTGACTTACTTCAAGTTCACGTAAAATTTGATCAATAAAATCTCCTGTATCGCCTGATCGGTAAGCATTAGCAAGACGAATAGAATCACGAAAAAGTCGTACTACATTTGTACCATCAGCAGCTGAAACATAATATAATGGCATATCATGTTTTTTTGGAAATGAAAATGATTTTTTTGTTATTTCCATAGCTGTATCAATTTTATTGACAGCACATAAACATGGAATATGTGGACGAATATCACGTAATTCAGTATACCAACGATCTAAATTCTTGTAAGTTATTTTTCGTGTAGCATCGAAGATCTATTAAAGTTATAAACAAAATAAAAAAGAAATTGTATTTATGAATTACATAACAGAGACAATTATCAAAATAGAATAAAATAGATCGTCTTACTAACGTTTTTTTTTCTCATAAAATGTCATTTGATATTGTTTATTAAATGGAAACATGGATCTTTTAGAACATGTGTCTCTATAAAATACCATCAGCTAGTGGTAATTTTAGATTTACGATCGATTTCATTAGAATCTATGTTTGTGATGCTCATTCTAATTCATCATGATGATGATGATATAAGACTTCGACTCAATTAAATGATGATATTCAATCATAAAGAATCCCTATTTTTATTGACGGTTAACTTGTAGTGTGATGCATCTATACTCAAAAAATAGCAACATAGTGGACTACAATGGATTATTTCTTTATCAAGAATAAATTGAAATGACTCTATTTTTATTCGACTACAATCTGATTTTTAGTCATCGAGTTTTGATTTCTTTCTAATCAATAAAAGAAATTTGGAAAATATCAAAAATATAAATTTAAAATCAGATTATAATTAAATAAAAATAGTATAATTTTAAATAGATTTACGAATATTTTCATATATGGATAATCTTCTTTTGAAATAATATAAAAAAAGATGTCCTATAATGATTCGTGTTATATATCGCAAACAATACCAATTCAATTTACATACCATAATACAAGCGTGTGCTTGATGAAAATATGATTGATGAATATTATCAAATTTTTCTTGACCAGCTATAGAATACAAAAGAATTTTTTTTTCTTAAATAAATTATGATAATATTTCTACACAAAAACCTGTATCCCAAAATTCAACTTCCATTGGTTTTCCATCAATTTTTGCTGTATGTTTAAAAATATTTACAGCATATGTTGAATAACGTGCTCCAACACTAAATAAATAATAATTAATTTCGTCGAAATTGAATGATATTTAAAAGTAATAAAATAATTTACTAAGAATTAACAAGAAAACGTTCTAATAATTTTGATTTACCAACAGCACTATCACCAAGTATGATGATTTTAAGACTATTTGTATTACTACTTGGAGCTGATGATAATGATTCACTCATCTTAAATAAAAATATTAAAAGAATCTTTCTTATTAAAATATATAAGACTAACAAACATTATTTCGAATTTCATATAAAACTAAGAAAATGATTTTATGTTTACATGTCAATTCATAGTTTAAAAAAAGAAAATTTATTGAAATAAAATTTTTATATAAAAACTAACAAAAAGTTGGACTTAGAAAAATCCATTACAAATTCCAATGTCTATCAACATTAACTTAAAAATATGAAATTGACAAAAAAAAAATTTTTTTAAACATCTAAATTTTACTTTCTTCACCAATGACTTCAAATTATAGATGACACTAGTCTAATTTTCAGTCGTTGAATCTATCTATGAATTGTTATTTTTCATTTTTTTTCGAATAATAATTACAATATTTGTTTTTTAAATAAAATTAAAAGAAAATATTTCGTTCATTTATCTTCATTTTCATTGGTTTTTAAGAAAAGAATTTTTTTTGAATGAACTAACTTATTTGATTGTCAGTTCTTTCGTTCTTTTGATGTATTCCGAAGAACGGGAATAACAACAGAAAAACAATAATCAGTAGTGTAATTGTGTGATGAAGGGCAACAAATAGAATGACATGCGTCCTTTAATTGTTTAAAATACAATCTCACATTTATTGTCTCATTCATGGTAGTATCTTGTCTTATTTACTATCTAGTCTAATCAAGACTCTTGTATGTTTTGATCATTATTATTTATAAATCATAAAGTAATGAACAATTCAAGTGAAACAAATATTAATATTGACGGTAAAATTTTTATTTTTTTATTTTTTTGTCTTTTAATCTATAAAATAATTTATTTAAGAACAAGAAGAAGTTCGTCAAAAACTACTATGGAATGTTAAACGAGAAGTTTGTATATAATAATATAAAAATTCGATATTTTCTAATTATTATATTTAGGTCAAACAAATGATGGAAGAAGCTGTTATGAAAAAATGTATTCATGAAGAAAATTGTAGTATAACAACACTTTGTGGTTTGTAGATTTAATTTGTTTTATTTTAATAATGATAACTTTCTATTGTTGTTTTTCTTTTTGATTTGTTTTAGGTTCTGTTGAAGCATGTCTTTTACATGGTCTTAAACGACGAGCTGTTGGTTTATTTAAAACAAGTACAACAATGGCACTTTTACAAAAACTTGCTAAAACTTGTCCAGCAGCTGCTGAAGTTGTCAAAATTATTGATGATGATAATCGACAATATGATGAATCAAGTAGTTTACTTGGTTTTTCAAAGTAAAGAAAAAAAAACTTTAATCAATCAACTTTATTTGATTTTTTTTTCTGAAAAGAAAATTATCGGGTATAACACAACAACATACAATAGGTTCTGAAGATGCTCGACGTCGTTCAACTCGTTCAGCAGTATATAATCGATATTTATGGATACGTACAGCACTTATTCATCGATCATTACATAAAATTGTTGAATGTATTGTTATCAATAGTTCGTATGTATTCTAAATTCATACGTTTTTTTTTTGTCGTCTTTATTTTATATTTTCTAGAAAATACTATGAACCATATGCACTTGTTTGTAATTCAGTACAAGGACCTATTTTAGCTTCTCTTCTTGGTAAATAAAAAAAAGCAACAAAATCTTTTTTATTGTTTTATGTTTTTTTTTTGTCAAAACTAGCTGGTCCATGTGCACTTGAATTTACACGAGTGAAAACATCTGATCATTTATGGACGGATCCACATGCTGATGAACTTGTTCAACGTCATCGTATGCATAGTGCTAATCGAGCAATAGTTAATCCAACAACAATGATGATGAATATGAATAATGTATATTCAATTAAACCTCGACCAAGTTTACAAATAAATGTAATTACTTTAATCTAATATATTCTTGTCATTTTCTTTTTTTTTTATTTTATAAATAAATAATTTCTTTTTTGTTTCTCGTTTTTAGCAAAAACGTAATACAAGTTCATCAAGTGAAGAAGCTCAACGACATAATCAATTAATGTCAATAAATCCAGCTCGAGATTATGTTGAATCACTTCATCAAAATGCTAAATCACAATTAATTTATGGAAAAAATAATGTTTTTGTACAACCGGTAAGGAATAAAAAAACAAAATCTTTTGTGTTTTTTTTTCTCCATTTAAATTATTTATTATTTTTTTTTTTTTTTATAGACTCCTAATCATGAGCCTATACCTGGTTATTTATCATTACATCATAATCAACATGGTTTAACATTAAAATGGACACCAAATCAACTTATGAATGGTTATAGTGAAAATACAAAAACATTACAAAATAATACACAAGGAACAAATGAATCAGAAACAAATACTACAATAGAATCACAGAGAAGATATAGGTTTATTGAATCTTAGTTTTTTATATTTTTATTTTACAAAATTTTTCTCTTAGTGTTTATTGGGATTATGCAATATCAATAAATATGTCTACAATTGTTTATCTTCATTGTCATCAATATGGTAGAAAATAAAACATATTTTGATATTTTGTTTTCTTTTTAATTTTAATTTTTAAGTTGATGGTGATCGTATTGTATTTGTTGCTCGTGATGGTGTACAATATCCTCCATTTCATATAAAAGATAAAGGTGGACATTTATTAGCATTTCTTACTTGTTTGGAAAGTGGTCTTGCACCAAATGGTCAACTTGATCCACCATTAGCATATGAAAAAGGACAAGGTTAATTCAATTATTTTTATATGTTGATTAATAATGGATAATATAATTCGAATCTAATTGATTGATTTACAGAAAAAAAAAAGAATTTCAATATGATGAAACTATTTTCACAATATTATTGATGTCACATATACATATGATGTTATGTCATAGTTACTCTGATTGAAAATTCTTTTATAGGATGATTCATAAGTAGCTTTACGATCAAAAAAGATTTGAATATCTCCACTAGACAGGACTATTTTTTTTTGTTCATGATAGAAGAGACTTCAGAACTTTGTTTTCTATAAGAACAACATTTATAAATATTGCTGTGAAATATCATCATTGCCTTCAATACAGTGTTGAAAATGATCCTAACAGATCTATGTGCGCGTACATTCGTCCTTCAACGAATCTATGCGATTGTGTGTTTTGTTCGGTGATACTGCCAATGTAGATATCTACCTTTTCTTAAGTACAATGAAGTGTAAACAACAGTTACTTTAACTTGTCTGGTACTCATTTGTACAGAGATTTCGAAAAAATATATTACGAAGTTTTAGATTCATGTTATAATCTGTAAGATCATAAAATTCTTATGAATCACTTCATAGAAAAAAAAATTAATTAATGAAATTTTCTTTATATTTAATATGTTTTTATTTTAGGAAAAGTATTACCTAAACTACATCGTCGTACAGAACGTTCACAACCTGCAATATCATTAAGTACAAGCGATGATGAGTCTCATGTACAAATGAATGCTGATATAACAGATGAAGATATATCATCATCACCAACTGGCGATTATGTTTTTCGTATTATCTTCTTTACTGATCGTTAGTGATCTATATTGTGTAGTATCTTGCTAATTGTATATGTCTGCTTTATATGTGTAGTTGTGGTTACTAGAAGGTATTTAGTCAAAATATTTTAACCTTGAAAATGATCTGCTTATGTTATGAATTTGTTTTGTTTTTCTTTTTGTAATTATAAAATTTTCATCGTTATGTTTAATTATCTAGAGGAAACAACAAATACTAATGGACATAGTCGATATCAATGGTCACCAGGAGCAGTTGATTCGTCATCATTCTCATCACAATCATCATCATCACCATCAGCACAAGCAACAAGTCTTAGTGCACCATTACCAGCTTCACCAATCGATGCATCATTTGCAACATCGGCTGTTTATGTTTCACCAACTGGTTTACATAAAAGTGTTTCAGTTAGGTAAAAGAAAACAAATGAATTAAATTTTATATATTTATCAAAATTGGAAATTAAAAAAAGAAATAACTCTACGAAGAGTTAATTAACGAATTTTATTCAGACTAGGAGTAATGAATGGTGTTTGACTTCGTTGAAAAGTAGTAATCCACATCATCATTAGTCAGTTTATGATAATTAAAAAATATATTTTCTAAAAACAGTGAGAAGTCTAAATTAGAGGAGTTAATATTTTTTAATCTCTTCGAGCTACATCATTTGACACAGTTTTTGAATGGATCTTCTTGAGAAAAGAAGAAAAGATCTGCCACACATACAAATCGAGCATGATGAACTAGTCTAATTATATCTCTAAACATTTTTCCAAGTACTTTTTGTTGATTGAGGCGAAAGAACAGAAAAATCCAGGGAATGTAGAGAAAGATTTACGAGTTTTCTAGGCATCTATTTCACAGTGGGATTTGACAAAAGTTTACTAGTCCAGGTAAATCCAAGCTACATAAAAGCATTTATTATAGCTATCTTCTAATTTAGCACATAAATATAAACTTTAGACTTTTTAATTTGGAAATAAAAGAAATCTATGCTACAATCTTACCTACTACCTTCAATTTCTAAATATTTAATTAGGGAAAGAGGACTCGAATGAAAACAAATGGTCTGAGTTTGCTCCTTTCAAACAAAATACCTACATTTCTATGATATATTACAAAGATATATAGAAGTTTAAACTACTATAAATATACTTTACAATACATATGAATTTAAATATCTTCATCGAATTGAATAGAAAAAGAAAATTTTCTTAATTCTTCGATTCTTTTCAAAAATTGTTCTATAAAACTTAATTGTTTTCAAATAAACCTACTTTTTAAGATCATCAATGGCATCCCTATGTGATACAATGCGTCGTCAAATATTATCACGTGCATTTTATGGTTGGCTTGCATATTGTCGTCATTTAAAAACTGTGCGTACACATTTAACATCTCTTGTTAATCCAGTATTAAAAATAGAAAATAATGAACAATCAAATTCAAATCTATCATTAACATATGATGGTTGGAGTGAATTATTTCTTAAAAAACAACAAGAAAATTTACCAATTGATAAAAAAGAACTTTATCGTAGAATTTATTCAGGTGGTTGTGAACCATCAATACGAAAACAAGTAAACAGTTGTAAATTTTGTTTGTTTTTTAATTATTTTATTTTATTTTCTTAAGGTTTGGCCATATCTTTTTTCTCATTATTCATTTGAATCAACAATTGATGAACGACAAAATATTGATCATACAACAATTGAACAATATAATTTATTAATAAAGGAATGGCATAGTGCTGAAGATATTGTTATGCAAATTGATTTGCAACATGCAAATAATCGCAGAAATACTTTAGCAAAATTATTAAATTTAAATTCGGAAAAAAATCATAATTCAACTGAAACAACATTAACATCAATTAAAAATGTTCTTGCTAGTATACCAGAAAAAATTTCATTTGCACATCATAATATTCTTGAAAGAAAAGACTCAAATATATCTAATGATGTTTTTTTTGAAGTAAAACTTTTATAGAAAAAAAAAGGAAATTATTTATTTATTTTTTGTTTATTTTTCTTTAGGATTGTGCTATACATACCGTAGCAATACCAATAATAGAAGAATCAAATTCAGTTAGAACATCAACTGATGAAAATCGTTCATTATCGACTTCATCTAATCCATCTGTACTTATTGCTCGTACACATACAGAATCTGTTATTGATCGTTCATCACCATATAATATTATTGAAACAAGTACAGATATGGAAGATGATGATAATGAGAATAATGGTGAAGATAGTGTTCATATGAAACCTATTGATAATAATGAAGAATTAATAAATGAACAAGATAATGAAATCGAACAAAAAAATCATAATAATACTGGATCACCATCATCTAGTTTAACATCTGGAACTGATGTTTATATGGATGCTGTAGAAATTTTAAGTGATGAACATCCTGCTGATAAATCAGGTAAGAGATTTTGTTTATTTAGAATATATATATATATATGATTTTTTTGTTTTTATTTAGATGGTACATTAACACCGATTTGTTATGGTTCATTTACCAAAGAAATAATCGATACTTTTTCAGTGAATTTACATCGAATTGATAAAGATGTTGCAAGATGTGATCGAACTTATGCATATTTTACTAATACGAATAATTTAAAAAAATTAAGAAATATTATGTGCACGTAAGTTTAAATATTTTCTTGAAAAAAGAATGTTTTTTTTATTAAATTTTGAAATAGAAAATAAAATATTCGAATTGTTAAATTTCACTAAAAAGTTATTAGTAAAAAATCTCGGCAGAATTAAAATATAAAATACAATGTAGTTGCTAATCACACAGAGTTGATTTTATTCTATCTATTTTGAAACTCATTTCTTCACCGTTATTCTACTTAATCCTTGAGAAATGCAATAAGACAGTAGTTCATATAGTATAACAAGACGTTATTGACATACGGTCTGTAACGTTTCTATGTCACGTTTGTGATGAGTCGCTCCTCACATGTCTGTGTAGAAGATCCAAATTTCTATCCACATACTGCAACATTCGAATAGATGAATGCTAAGGTGCAAGCACGAAATTAATATTATTATGAATGCTAATACATTGATTACTGAAAACAAGATCTCGGAAATTTTTGAACAATGAAAAAGTTTTATGAATGTTATAATAGACTTTAATAATTAACCAAATATATTGTAGAATAAATCTTCGAGAAAAAACTTTTTTTTTTGTTATAGATATGTATGGGATAATTTGACGACTGGTTATATTCAAGGAATGTGTGATCTTGTAGCACCATTACTTGTCGTTTTCGATGAAGGTTATTAGAAATATTTTTGGATGTAATGTTGATAATTTTCTTGTTTATTTGATGTTTTAGAAGTGATAGCATATAGTTGTTTTTGTTGTTTAATGAAACGTCTTTTACCAAATTTTCCTCATGGAGCTGGTATGGATGAACATTTTGGTCATATGCGTTCATTATTACAAATTCTTGATTTTGAACTTTATGAACATATTCATCGTACAGGAGATTTTACACATTTTTATTTTTGTTATCGATGGTTTTTATTAGATTTTAAACGAGGTAAAATAATTTTCTTTTTGAATAAATGAATAAAGAAAACTAATTCTTTTTGTTTTGTTTTTCTATAGAATTTGTTTATGATGATATATTTTTGGTATGGGAAACAATAGCTGCTGCTCGACGAACAGTTTCAAAACGATTTGTTTTATTTATTGCATTAGCTATGTTAAAAATTTATCGAGAAATTATATTAGATAATCGAATGGATTTTACAGATATTATCAGATTTTTTAATGGTAGATTTATAATTTTCTTTTATCCTCTGTATTAAAGAATATTTGTTTGTTTGTTTATTTTCATAGAAATGGCTGAACGTCATGATACTCGTGAAATTTTACGTATAGCAAGAGAATTAGTGCTTGAATTACAACATTTGGTTGATAATAAATAAGAGAAAAAAAAAGAGAATGTGAAAAAATATTATAATGTTTTCTTTTTTTCTGGCCGTAATTATGTGTTGTTAGTTTTTTCCCTTATTATATAAAAAGAAAGCAGATTAATATAAGTATATTTATTAGTCTTTATTTTTTGACGTTGTTTATATTTAGTCGATTGTTTCACAGATATATATATATATATATATATATATTTATTTATATATATTATGTGCAATTATTACTGTTGATTGTTGTGACTTAAGGATACACTTATTTTATGTTGTTTTATTTATCGTTGTTGTTTTAAAAAAAAATAAATATAAAGCACTTATTAAAAATTTATATTAATATTTCGATTTAAACAGTTAATATTTAATGTGACTAATAGTTTCATCTTATAAAATTGAATAATATTTTATTTAAAAATACGAGTGTTAATTTATATTTTAGCTTATAAAATTAAGATAAATCTAATGTATATATATAACAAAGATCAATTAAAGAATAAAGAAAGATTTTCATGTTCCATATTGCATGCTTGTTTGTACTACTGGCAGTAGATTGATATCCACAAAATAGTCGATCATTCAAATATCGAACTACCGTCGGTTGACTGTCGGTACAGGCCCGTAGCCAGGAGGGTGCCCAGGGTGCTCGGGCACCCCCTTGGCCAAAAAATACCTGGAGGGGGGGGGGGGGTACAGGCGAAAAACGTTTTTGTGAAGCGAAAAATTATTTTCCCGCTGGTGGGCCCCCCTTAACAAGTCCGGCACCCCCCTTGGGAAATTCCTGGCTACGGGCCTGTGTCGGTATAGCGCTTATTATACCGATGGGTTTTTGTCTAGTTTGACTCATATGGGAATGGATAGATAAATATCTAATATCAAACCAAGATATGTTAATTGATATTCCTTGTTATGCATGATGTGTCATACTGCGTAAAAAATGAAAATGTTACATGAAAAGATATAGTGACGGACAAAAATTTAGAGCAGTTGTATTTTTGAGGAAGGTGAAAAAACATTTAAATAGCTAAAAGAATTCTCTATCAGGATATTTGAACTCGAAAAACTTCAATAAAACGGCTTGGATGAGGATGTCTGGAAAATCAAGACCTCCAAAACTTTTTCTGACATCCATTTGAAGTTTTCTAGAAATTGTTTTATTTATTAGAGCAAATAATTCTCGGTAAAATGACATGTCTCGGCTCTCTTTATGGACTTCCTTCATCGAACTACATTCAATTTATAGAAGGCTCTAAAGCATCAAATATGGCGAAATCATTAAAATTTTTCACAAAAACAATAGAGAAATGCTTCGTGCATCTTCTGTAAATTGAATGTATTTTGATGAAGACAGGTCATAAAGAGAGCCGAAACATCTCATTTTGCTCAAAATTATTTGCTTTAACAAATAAAACCATTTCCAAAAAGCTTCAAATAGATGCCAGAAAACTGCTGTTTGAGGGTCTTAGTTTTCTAGATATCTTCATCCAAATAGTTCTATTGGCGTTTTTATGTCTATCAATCGTGATAGAATTATTCTTTGAAATACTCAAACGTCTTTTCAGATTCTTCCTAGCTATTGCCATCGAGATTGTTTGCAAATACAAACTAAGTCAATACGAAGAAAAAAAAAAGATTGATGATTGCGCTGTGGCATTGTCACTGTTTTTGTGAACAAAAACGCTCGAAACGCCATTATGAAGAACAAACAATAAAATTCTCGACACACAACCCGAAGTATCTTTCATTTGTTTTGATGACATCAGTCTTCACTAAGATTCTATCATTTTTCTAAACATGATGATCTGCTTTTGTCAGATTGATACAATAATCAATTGCGTTCTAACTATGACTTATTCTCGATTGAGGAAAATATCATCATATCAAAGAATGATATGTCAATTGTCTATGTTGAGAACCATGAGATAGCGAATGAACAGTTATGCGAAAAGTATAACTATGAAGTTAATCATCAATTTCCGTGATGCACTTGTTGATGGTATGAAAATAAGAAGCGATGAGAGTGAAACTATTACTTAAGACTATTGCAACAATGATGAATAACACTTTTTATTTACAAAATTTCATGTTCGATTAGTAGAGTCATAGACACTCGCCACTTCAATCTGACCAGAGTGTGGCTGTGGGCATAGGTCGAACCAATCTAGGTTTTTGAACAAAAAAATGGATGAAAACTGCTTTCTTAAAACTTTTTTCACTTGCTAAAGTAGCATATTTAGAAAAAAAAAAGACAAACAAGAATTAAACAAATGTTTATTGCTTAAAATCCTTTAACTAAAAAAAAACAAAAAACAAAACTGTACAAATCATTTTTTATTTTTTGATTTTATTAAATTATTTGTTCCTGTATGAAGAATTTCTCTTGAAATAAATTTTTCTTGTTCTAATTTAACAGCTAATTTATTTATTTTATTTGTTGCACATTCTTCTTGTTTTGTTAAACGTTTTTCTAATTGTTTTAATTCATTTGTTTTTGCATCAAGTGCTTGTCGTTGTGCTATATATGTTTGTTCCATTGCAAGTGTTTTGGCATATAATTCAGAATTTTTACGAACTTTATCAACTGTTGTACGACGAATATGTTCTAATGATTTTTCAAATTCTGCACGTTCAAAATCAATTTTAGCACAAGCTTCATCTAATACAATATAGGTTGATGTTAATTTTGTACGAGCATCATCAAGTTCAATTTGAAGTTGATTTGAAAGTGTATTTGCTGCATCAAGTTGATTTTGTAAATCATTCGAATGAGCTAAAGATCCATCAAGTTGACTTCGAAGATCAGTCACATCAGCTTGAGATTTTTCAAGATGAGAAACAAGTTCATCATATTCACTTCGAGGTACATGTGCTCGTGCTATTGACTCACGAAGGGATTCTATTGTAGTACGTTGAGATGCTATTACGGAATGAAGTTGAGATTGTATAAACAATGATGTACTACCGTCCTGTAAATTAATAGAAAGAAAAAAAAATCCATAAATTATTGCATAAATAATTCGTTCGATGAAGTATATGATATAATAAAAGAATTATCAAAAAAAGATCAATTTACAGTATCGAATAAGTACCGAGAGAAAAAACTCTTTGCTAAATTATTCTCATGATTTTAATAAGAAAAGTTAACACTATTGAGAATAAATCTTCTTGAAATTTATCGATCAATTCCTGAATGTGTATGTAATAACTTGTAGATTGACGAATACGGAGTCCGTATACAACCATATATCTCTGTGAACATATGCAGAGGTCGTATACGCCTTTCATGTATGAAGATAATAATCGAGCGTTTTTATTCTCCATGAATCACGGTATGTGACAAGAAGATATACGATCGTAATATGGGTCTATGTAAAATCATCATATTTCTCCGTATAAGGTCGTCTACAACTGTGCCTCTTTGACTTGGGCTTGTACAATCATGTATAGTGGAGCGCAAATCAAACTTAATATGCATAAAAATGTTTTTAATTTAATAGAATATTCAATGAAAAAAGCACTTTATCAATTAGTTAATATCTATCATGAATAATATCAACAGAGAAGCCGACTAATCCATTTAATTCAATAGTATTTTCATCAAATTATTGTGTAGAAATATTCTACAATAATTGGATTTATTTGTTTAAAAATAATACTAACAATCTGAAGATATACTTTAAATAATATCTGAGATTAAGTTATTCAAATTAAATAAATGTTACAAGAACTTTATTCTATCTCGATTCAAAGAATAATTATTTGTCTTGTACAATTTTAATTTTCATAGATTTCTCTATAGTATTTACAAAGAAAAAGAAGAACGATGAAATTGTTCAACATGATCTCTTTTATTCTAAATCATTTTTAAAATTCAAACAAAACTAACCTTTGTTTCTTCCATTAAATTTCAATTTTATTATTTTTTTTTTTTGAAAGAACAAAAAAAGACAACATCTAAACAAAATGATAATGACCTCTATAGGAATTATATAGATCGTTATTGATTAGTGCTTAATATTATTTCATGTGATCAATAGGAAAAAAATGTTTTTTTTTAAGTTCGTTAGATAGGAAACAATTAATTTTATTTTTTCATTCGAATAATAAGATTATCTTGAATATATTTTTGTTGTTGTTGATTTATATAAAGTCGTCGATATTTAACCATTATCTTATTAAGATCTTGTGTTTTATCATATAATTTTTGTTGAGAAAATTTTTCTTTTTTTTCAATTTGTAATTTTTCAATGTATAAATTCATATTTTTTTCTAATTCATTTTTTATTGTTTGTTTTAAATCCGTAATTAAATTTTCAAGTAAAATTCGTTCTTTTGTTGAATGTTCATCAAGTATTGAAAGCGCTTCATATATTGCTGAACATTTATCGTAAGTATCTTTTAATTGTCGACGTAAAGAATTACATTCAGCAATAGCAAGTTCATATTTCGAGTCAGTTGACATTTTATGAATTTATTCTTTTCCTCTCCTGCTTCTTTTTCTTGTTGTTAAGTTAAGCCGATTTATTTATCATATAACATTGACGTTCTTATCTTATTGAAAGAGGTCGTCGATTAAATAGAATCGTATTTCACACATTCTTTTGTTTCTTTTTTTTTTCTATTAACAGTGATTGTCTCCATAGCATGGTACCTTCGATATATAATATAGTTTTTTCTTTTTGAAAATTTTATATAGAAAAATTTTGTTTATAATTGATTCGAGTGTATCGTTTAATATTTTATTTATATTAAGAATTCTAATCCAAAAAAAAAATAGTGTATACTCTTATAATGTGTTGCGAGTACGTAGAACAATCATTCCGACAGTTGGAAATGGCTATAAAACTGATGTATTACTACATTAAATTTGAGCGTATTTTGCTGTAATACGGCATCCCGTTTTTTTCGCTAGAAAGTAGTTCCCACTATTTTCACCATTTTATGTACATAGATACAACCGTGACGTCATATTGTCAGTTTTTTGCCTTTTTCTATCGTTTTCTTGAGTCTGAATATGATTAGATAACAGTAGAAAAAATAAATAAATCTCGATAAGACTTTTTTCAAAAAGCGAAGAATTACTAAAGCTGTTTAATGTATTTCACAATAGTCCTTTTACTAATAACTTTTGGTTAAATTTCTTATCTAAAATTTTCACATTTTCTTTAAAGATGTAAATAAACATAATGATAAATAGTGGAAATTTACATACATTGAGTCAATAATATCTCGATTATTGATATTCTTTCTTTATATGTTGAATTAAATATAATGAGAATAAAAGTGTAATCATTTTTAAAATAGATATTAAATCAACAAAAATTTAATATTAAATAAATTTTAAAAATAATTTAGAACTTAGAGTACATCCGAATAACAGTTTTGTTAAGATATTTTTTAAAATATATTAGGAAATATATCTAATTCTCTATGACATTTCAAGATGCCAACACATATTGATAATAGTCTTTAAGATTTTAATACTTGAATCGAACAAATTTTCATGTTATTTTATACTCTAGAAATAGATTAGTCTGAAGTTATTTCGAACAATACTGGAAGAAAGTGACCACTTATTTTGAAAAATTAAATTTTTTATCTATCAATTAACTTCATTGTATTTGTCATAGTTGTTTTTTCATAGGCACTATAGTTTTCATGCAATCTTCTTTTTATTTTCTAAAATTTTTCGATTCACTTAATGTATTCGAAAGTAAGAAGATAAACACATTTTGCAAGATAAGAAAACTGTATTAAACTTAAACATGCAATAATACTTTTGTTTTTTTTTTCTAGATTAAATAAAAATGAGTAATAATGTTGATATGACTGAACCAATTCCTATGGATGAAGTTTGTATTGAGTTTTATTTATTGTATATTTTGAATGAATAATTTTTGTTTTAGTCTTCAAATAAAATTCAACAACAAAAAGAAGATGATGATCATCATCGTCAATGTATTAATGAATTACGTACTATTTTTCTTCAAGTTCATCATTGTCAACAAGAACCAGATAAACATGTAAGTTTTGATATCTTTTATTTTCTCTCATCAAAAAGAAAAAATGTTCTTGAAAATACTTTTTTCAAAATTATTTATTTGAATAAAAAAAAAAATCGCAAAAAAAAATTTAATTCGTATGTCTCTTTTTCTCTTCTTCCATTATTTTTGAGAAGAAGTAAAAAATATTTTATTTGTTTTTCTCATAAAATTGTACTGTATTATTTCCAACATCAGTAACAATCATTGTATTTTGATCATTAGAAAAGCAAACATAGTGTGGTGCTTTCATTTTATCACCACGAAAGTTAATAACTTGTTGCTGATCATCATCATTCATAGCTAAAATTTTTGATGTATAACGATCAGCAAGAATCAATTGATTTGAACTATCACAAATAATACCTAACATTAGAGAAAAAAAAGAAATTTTAACAGATCAATATTTCGAAATAATTATTATTTTACCTTCTGGTACACTTAAATTAAGATACGATTGTGCATCTGTATCAATAAATCGTTGTACATTACCATCTAATCCATAAATAATAATACATCCAGCATTGTATGCACATGATTCAGGTTTAATTCTTTGCCATGCTGTTACATAAAGTAAATTATTTGATATTGAAATATATTGTGGATCAAGTTTTTTTGAACCTAAATATTAAAAAGAAAAAGAAATAATCTATTTTTATAATTTATATCAATTATTTAACCTCGCATAATAATCCATTCATTTTCATATTTCATTTGATGATTAAGTACAACCATACGTGAATTATAAGAATCACATACATATACATAATTATTATCAATAGCAACACCTTTTGGCCATGAAAATGATGTTTGTGTACAACCTTCTTTTTTACTTCCAATAAAATTAATCATTTTTCCATGAAACCAATCATATTTTGAAACTCGATGACGATCTGTTATAATAACAAATTGTTCACCAGCTAAACAAAGTCCATCAGGAAAAAGAAAACCTTTAAGACCACGCATTGTTCTTAAATTAAGATCATATATAATAATTCGATGTTTTTTTGTATCGGCAATTAATAAATGATCTGTATCAGTAACAGCAATAGCTTTTGGTGCAAGAAATTTATCAACCTCATTTGGACCTGTTAAAACTTGTGTTGCTTTTCTACTATATTCATTAAGATGTATTTGTGATATAGGCATTCGTGGTGTTAATATTACATTATCATCAATTTGTGATTGTTGTTCAAAACCACGATTTGATAAATTTAAATTATATGGTTGATGAGAACGAAGAACTTTTCTTGTTGCATATTCATCACCTTCTTGTTCCATTTGATAATGATCATCAAGTCTTGAACGATTTCTTGATGTTGAACCATCAGTTTTAGTACTAAATTTAACAGAATAACCTGTACCACGATAAGCACCTTCATGATCATTTTCATGATATGTTGATATTGGTTGAGTTAAAAATATATTAGAATTAGTTGTTGTTATTGGCTTTTGTTCAGTTATAATCATACGTTTTCTTGTTCTTGTATTTGATTCACGTCCACTAATCATCTAAAAACAAAAAAAATTGTTATTTGCTGTTTTTTGGTTTAAAAAAATCGAATTTCGTATATTTTTTTACTTGATTGGATCGAGATATTCCATCTGGGTTATCATACGGATCAAGTAATGGAAGATGTTGTCGTTGTAAACGTGCCATTGGTAAATGTTCATTATCTTGATTTGCTGTTTTAAGATGAAGTTCACCTAGATATGAATGATTTGTTGATGATGTATTAGGTTTATAAATATAATTAATATGTTGATCATCGAATTTTCGTTGTAAATCAAGCCAATGTTGAGTTAAATGTTGTCGATCAGATGTATTCCAATTTTTTGGATCAATTGTATCTAATTCATTTGATTCTTTTTCAATATCATATTTTAATTTTTGTAATTTAGTATTTTTTGTTATTAAATAATCTTGATGAAGATCATCTAATTGTGTATATAAAGCTTTTTCTCGTTCTCAAAAACAAAAATAAAAACAAAAAAACATATTTTGTAATGAAATTTAAATATAAAATAAAATCATTTTTTTCTTGTGTACCTTGAATTTCTTTGATTTGTTTTTCAGCATCATTATGAATCGATTGACGAATATTTTCTTTTGATTCATTTAATTTATTATCCCATTGAGATAATTTTTCTGTTAAATTATCACGTATTTTAATTAGTTCAGCATATTCTTTTGCTTGTTGATTAGCAAGATTTCGTTCATGTTCATCCATACAACTAAAACAAGCTAATGATCGACAATGATAACATCGACCATAAGCAGTTTTTTTATTACATAATTCACATATACCTAATTGCGCAAGACGATGATGTTCAGCTTTTTTTAATGTTAATAATGTATGATTTTTTGTTAATTGTCCCACTTCGTGAACACTTGATAAACGACGTGCTTCATGACAGATAGGGCATTTAAGAACACCATCCGCAGGTAAAGCATCCTAAAAATAAAATGAAATTATATTTAGTTCAAGTTTATTATTTTTTTGTTAAAATACCTTGATACAATTATGACAGAATGTATGTCCATTTGAGCAAAGTATACGTGGATCTTGAATATCTTTTTTACATAATGGACATTGAAGTAATGAATGAGCATTAAAAATACGAGTAATCGATTCAAAATCACTGTCATTTTGCTGGCGAGAATCAAATGAGGACATTTCTCGTTTTTTCTTGCCGTCTAGAGAATGATTTGATGTATGCCACAGCTTTATTTGATGTTATTTTCATCTATTTTTTTCGTTGTCATGAGTGCACAGCAGGAAGATCTATTAAATTTTGAGAATAAAATAGATTTTTTTCTTTTCTAATTAAAAGTTTAAGAATGTCTTTGTCTCTTTTATTTTTTAATAGAAAGAAGAATTGTCTCAACTTCATGCACGTGGTATGCATTTATGTAATAAACTTCGTTCATTTAATCGAATTGGTCGTATGCGTATACAAAAAGCTCGAGAACTTACTGCTGAGGTTTATTATTTGATTATTTTTGAATAATTTCCTAGATAAATAGTTGTATATTTTTTTTTGTAGCATCGAAATCGTCTTGATGATCAAACACTTGAACAACAAAATCTTCTTTATGAACTTTCTCATATTAATAAAGAAATAGCACGCTGTGAAGAATTTAAGTAAGATATACTTTTTTCTTGACAAAAATAATTTTTTTTTAAAATTATTATCTTATTTAGGTCAAAAGATCAAAAGTTAGAATTAGTTAGTTTAGAAGATTTTTATGCAAATGCACCACCTGAACTTACTGATTCAGTAAGATATAATATCCTTTAATTATTACATTTATAAAAGAAAAGGAACCATTTGTAGAAAATTACTGAGAATGATCCTCATCGACTTCATTTATTTCAACTTGATTGGGAATTAATGCAAAGAGAAAAGTTAATATCAA